TTTTGGTGAATAACTTCGCAAAAAACGGCCGCAGAGCCGCGATTTTGGCAGCATCGTGTTTGCCTCGCTCAGGCACGTCGAAAGATATGCTTTTTGTTCGGGTCAGGTCAACTTAGGGTGTTGACCTCAGGTTAAGGTCAGGTCAGCACCCCTAGGTCACTAAGCTGGTCGAAAGAGGTCATGTCGCATATCATTCGATTCGGCAGGTCATCCTGAGTCCATTGGCGGTTTTCCCGACTCGCTAGCTCAATTTGATCAAGAGTTATTGACGAAAAACTAAAATGACCTTGATGACGTCATAAATGACGTCACGCAAGGTCAACATTGCAAAAGTGACGCATCTAACCTTGCAAGGAGTGCATCAAATCACGATTGTGTGTGCTTGAGATAGTTGGAGATCGTTCCAGGCGCCAGAATAGCAGTTTTCATTTTTCCCCATTGACTTATAATGGTGAGGTTACGAAAATGACCTGACCTCATATGACCTTTAGGAAAAATCCGAGATATACAAGTTGTGAGAATCATAATGGATACTAGATCCTGCAAGTTTCATTTCCCTGTGACATCTCCTCTGGCAGTGAGGGCGTTGCGAAGTTGCGACATCTGAAGACCGTGCAGAGGTTCACTTATGACGTCATAGGTCAGTGACCTGACCTGACCAAAAAATGCGGTTGCTGTTAAAAGATCCGGCTTGAATCAAAGATCAAGTATGCCAAGTTGCAGCTCTCTATCACCAGCGTGTTCGGAGCAATCGCGAAAAACCCCTATGGGGGGGGGGGGGTGGGTGCCGCCTCCCCCCTCGGCCGGCGAGGGTTAACTAATGAATATTGATAACTAATAATATTGCGAACGGTGTAGTGAGGATGCTACATGAAGTGGGTAAAACTGTATAAGCGAGTTATGAATCGACGAGATAGGTATGCCTGGGGAAGAAAATTGTTGTCAGCTCTGCAAGTAACGTCTGTAACTTTTTTCTTACCTGTTTGCTATTAGCGCCAATAAATATACTTTGGGGGCTGAGAGTTGTGTTTCATTGCCTGTTATATACCTTAGCACGTGGACCACCTTTAAATAACCAACCGTCTTAAAGTTGTTTCTACATGTTCAACCCTTGCCCCGTTGGGGGGGGGGGGGGCAATTTGGCCCCCTGTGGTTTTTCCTAAATAGCAAGAAGGCGGCGCGCAGCGCCGCCAAATTTTCAATACCTTCCCGAGCATCAATTTGACACCTTCACACAAAGTTCAAAGTCTTAGGTCACCTTATGAGGTCAAACTGAGGTCATGTTCGAGGAAAAATGAGCAAAAAAAACATGAAATCTTGAAATGCTCACAAAAGCTACAGTTAACCCGGCAGTTGCTGGGGTATTTCGCCACCCACCGTTTGCTGGGGGGGAAGGGGGGCGTTAAACGCCCCCAGCCGATAACTCGAGAACCAATAGGCGCAGCGAAACGCACGAGGCGGCAAACGAAAGAACGCGACGAGACGCTTCAGATGAGTACTTTAAAGTTGAATTTTGAGGTCACAGGTCGGGTCAAGGTCAGGTCAAACACCTGAAATCGGGCTTTCAGTAGCATGGACTTCAGGACTTCGCAATGGGCGCCTCTCGTCATAAACTCTGTCAAAACGGTGCACAATCCATCATATAAGGCCTACAAGAGTGTCAGCTCCATGTAGGGGTCAGTCAAGCATAGGTCAGGGTCAAGGGTAGGTCAGGGTCAACCGGGTAGGCAAATATCCCCGAAAATCAAAACTGATATTCGCAGCCTGTGACACATGCTTTATGGGTAATTTTGGGCGTAGAACACGATGGTGACATTCATTTTATCATATGTGTACGTGTTTGGCTCAAAAAGTTCAATTTAAGAAATGCATGTATCACACGCTAAACATACATGTGGTCCTACAGGGCGCGATCGATAAAAGGTCAATAACATGAAGAGCTACACATTGTAAGCAAGGTTACCTGACAACAGACTTACAATGTGTAGCTCTTCATGTTATTGACCTTTTATCGATCGCGCCCTGTAGGACCACATGTATGTTTAGCGTGTGCACCAACTGTATATGTGTGTATTTATTATTGTGATGCATGTATCATGGTCGTAAAGTAGTCACGAGAAATTGCCAAGATTCAGTTCAAGATTTTGGAAAATGCGGAACGATAATCAATAATCGAAGATAGCCATTTGATTGTTCATGGTATTGGCAGTCTAATGGCGTTTACGGCATGTCTGTATGTCTATTCTGTGATTTTATATGATTTTTTGAACATATGCCGTTTTTGGTCGAAAACTCAGAAATCATGACGTCACTAAAACCTCGATATCTCAAAAATTTTCCGACCGATTTTTTTGAAACTTTGTCACAATACACTTCATCCAATTCCCTACAGGTACCTAAAAGTTGGCGCGCCTGCGGCGCGCCGTTTTTATGCTATGGCCCGGCGAAAAAAGTGGGGGCGTTTAACGCCCCCCCAGCAACTCGCGGGTTAAGAAGCAATTTCAAATCTATTTATATGGTCATGTAGGAAAAACAGCGCTACAAAACTGCTATCTGGGATTTTCAAAGTTATGGGATTTTGACCCAACGGCTAATTTTTTTTGCAAAACAACCCCAATTTTTCGAATTTCGGAAAAATCGTAGCATATGTGATAGTCCCTGCGCTCGCCAAGCACATGTGATGGTCCCTGTTCAAAATAAATGACGTTAAATTTTTTAACTCAGTCCTTAGCAATTCTAGACCACATAGCGCCAAACAAAGAGCACCATTGAACTCCCCGCGACGAGCTGCATCGAATCGATACCCGTTTTATGAAAAACATCAATTTTGAACTTTGACTCAATTTGACCTGACCTTGACCTGACCTTCACCAGAACATAATCTTAACTGGCCCCAAAGGCTGCCTGACCCACATAATCGCACGTGGCATGTAAAATGGACCATGAAACATGCATCACATGACCCTCAGTGACCTGACCTCTGTGACATGATCCGGTATCAGTGACCCCACCCCAAATAGCAAAATAGGTGTTTGACGAGTTGTGTTGGTGGCGATATGAGTTTGATATTAGTGTTGATGGCTGACATTTTTAATACAGAACATAAAGAAATGCTAATGAAACTCAAAGCACTTTTAACCCTATTCCTGGCGGGGGGGCCTCAGGAGCCCCCCCCCCCCTGAGGTTTTTTGGTTATATCTCCCAAACGCGTTGAGCTAGGAAGCTCAAATTTTCTGACTTTTCCTAAAAGGCTTCTACGCAACATGTCTGAAAATTTTGAGTTGATTTGACCTCAGGTCAGGTCACCAGAGGCGGTTTGGTGACGCTACCTCAGAAAAGTTTGCAATCACGCCAGAGCTAGAGTTTTTGACCGATCAATTTCTTCTCTTCAGGGTTTAGTTAGGGTACCAGTATGTGCAATTTGTTTATCTCGGAATTTTGATATCGGTGACCTAAGGTCAGGTCAATTTCGCGACCTCCCCATTATAAGTCAATGGGGGAAAAATCAACTCCCTGTTTTTACCACTAAAACGGGTCGGAATGGCCCCATATACCATACATGACTTCATATACGATCAACCTTCACTACCTTGAGGTCTGTTTTGCTGTTGGGCAGCTGTGAGGTCATGTGACGTCATCAAAGGTCACCAAAGGTTTTTGGCCAATAACTCCGTACAGGAACAAGATACAGACGCGTGGATGGTCTCATTGTGTTCAGCTCGTCAAGACGCATCGAATGATATACATGATGACCTCGAGGTCACGTGACCTGAGGTCAACCTTTGACCTTGACCTTTCGAGGTCAACATATATATCATTCGATGCGGATTGACGAGAGGATCACGATGCTGCCCTTAGTTTGTTCCTATCTTGACTAATTCGAAAGTTATTCGAGAAAAACTCTCTCCATATCTAGTGCCGCCATTTTGACTTTTTCGACCCCTGTGACGTCATCTTTGACCTGACCTGAAAATGACCTTTGTAAAAATTGTAGATCTTGGCCGTGCGTATCCGATGCCGTTTACCGCTTGTCGCTATCTTGCTTCGTTCTCGAGATCTCAGGGGGGGGGCGAATCGGCCCCCCCCCCCCGCCAGTTTCTTGTCCCGGCGGAGCCCGCCAGGAATAGGGTTAAGAGTGGTATCAGGTATGTCGTTCGCATATGTCGTTTGATAACAAGAAAATGGGAGACTAAGCAGTTAAAATGCGATTTGATGCTAATCTTTCTTTATAATAATGTTTTACCTATTTCCTATGCAATGCGTTAATTCTATTATTTTAATGCATTTCAGCGCCGGCCCCAAAAATAAACACATGCGTTCTCACAAATTCTCAGCGAACACCACTCCATTCACTCGCTGCAGCTGTACGGCAGATGCACGGTCTTAGCACGGGGATGCACGGTTTTAGCGCGGGGAGCTGCATCTGTTGTCCGGACGTGTTCTCTAACCACGGCAATTCAAGTTTTTGTTGTTTGTCTAATCTATGCTACAAACACCGCACCTGTCAACTGTTGTGAGCGTCAGCAGCATCAGCAAACCGGTCTCTGCAGTGAACACAGGATGAACGCCAGTCACCTTCACACCAGTTACGCTTAGTTCCTGCACACATCATCGTCTTTCCGTCTCGTTATTTGAACACGTCATCGGCATGCGTGCTTATTGTTGCATTTCTATTCAATCGGTGCCGTTGCACATGTCCATTGGCCAGATCAGCTTCATTAGTCACATGCTCATTGTTTTACTCGGCGTTGGTCACCTGCTTATCATTTCACTCGTTATTAGATCACCAGTTGATTCATTTGAAGCGTCGTGATGTAACGTGCACACTGCACAGTGCACACTCCGTTCGATAGATGTTATCTCGCAGAACATTTTATCGCACGGCGCCACCGGACCACCTTACCCAATATTCATGACAGACAAGGGTCGCCACACGCCACCCCATCCATTGAAGAGTGGGTTTACGTGTAGGTCCACCCTTTGTTGGATTAAGGCATTGACATTCAGTTCAATGAAACCACTTTAGAGCCTCGAAATGAGAAGATAAGGAAGATATTGATAGATGAGATCGAATCGACCACCGGCTGGTGCACCATGACGAAATGGCACCTCACTTATTCACCCATACTCGTGTATCTACGTCACTTCCCCATAGATTCACCCCTCCACACTCCGTCCTCCCTGCGCATTCCTCTTGCTCCCCAGGAGCTGACCGCTTCCCCTCCCTGCTCCTCACCGTCGTGTCCAAAACATTCCATCGACACCGCTCCTCTCACTGCACGATCCGCGTTCCGGTTTTTAGCGTTCCGGTTCTTAGCGTTCCGGTTTGTAGCGTTCCGGTTAGACCGGACTGTGAGCCCGTGTCCGGAGCACAGGACCGGAGTGGCGCCGGGCCGACGGAGACACAGTCGAGGAGAGAGAGGGGTCGGGCGCGCAGGGCAGACTGTTGTTGGCGACGAACAGTGTCGGCGTTGAACGACAGGGGAGGTGGAGACTCGGTTAGAGACAGGGAGGAAAGGCTTAGCACTGCCGGCTATCAAGGCGGCCGCTCAGATCAGGGTGAGACAGAAGATAGGTAAGTGACGAAGGGAGGAGCCGAGCGGACGTGGGGAGTGTCCAAGAACTTTGAAAATGTTGTGGCGCTGCTGCACGGCGCTGCTGATACTGTCGGCATGCTCAGCAGCTGAGGAAAACAACAAAAAGAATGAAGGTAAGCAAAACGCCAGTATTTGCGAACAACATCCAATTAAACTCCAACCGTAATACCATGATGTGTGCTTTATATGCTGCAGTGCCTGCTGCCTGCTGACTATATGTTGCAGTGCTAACGTTGAATGTATTGAATTGTCGCTTTTGCCAGTGCTAACGTCTTCATCTTGATGCTAAATTGATGCTAACTCTTATCTTGATGTTAGGCGGGTCGATTTTTTGGGTAGAAACTCATTTTCTTAGTACAAACTCAATGAATTGGTTTCCAGTAAACTAGAGGCATTAGCTAAAAGTAGCAGTGGTCTCATTTTGGTTTCATTTGTCGTTTGTGATTGGATGTAGTTTCAAGGCAATGCTGTTTTCGCCGATTTTTTTCCAATTATACTTTTTCACGGAATAAGATCGCATCAAACAACTTTTATTTTGCTTGTTAAGAGTAAGATGCTCGCGTTTTCTCCATCGCCGAACAGCAGGGTAGTTGATTTGTAATAAGCAGGAAACAACTGATATTCTGAGCAGTTTTTTCTCCATCAACTGAACATCTGGTCTTGCTGTTCCTCTCGATCTTTAGGTAAGCACTGCAGCTCCCCGTTTTCACGTGACCAATCTGTCACATGACCGCGCTCCTTTCTTACCTTTCTAACAGCCTCATTCCCTTTCCTTACTCCAAATAATACCCATTCCGTGGCCGGGTTTCGGGTAATCTGTACTCTCCTCTGTCACCAAATGAGCTGTGCTTCTCTTCTATCACCAAATAACCGTCCTTTACTCATTGGCCACCAAATGAGCCTTCGCTCCTCGTCTATCACCAAATGATTCATGTTATTGCCATTCGGCGAGAGCGACGTGCGGTTTCTCATGACTGTACCAACTCTGTTTTTGGTCGGTCACCAATGGACTCCTGCCACTTTTCTGACGTCCGGTGAGAAGCGATGCGACGTCACGTGACTGTTCTTACCGGTCTGACCCGTCCGCCGCGCCGGCCGGTCGGGTCAGGTCACTCACCCCTGGAACCCAGTCAGCACCGGACACACCGGTTTTTCCGCAGCCGACACACTGTAGCCGGTACGGTCAATGTGTGAAGCTATGCGGAACAAATCCTCACGATCTCTGGCTGAGGAAATGCCGGAGCCGCTGCTGACAACGAGCGTCCGAGTAAATCAGATAAAGAGGTCACTGGTCGTTCATGGTTCACGGAGCAAGCTCAGATTGCACGTGACACGAGGATAATGATGGTGACATGGGTGCGCTTATGTAAGCCAGGGAAGGTGTTTGTTTAACGCTGCTCATTTCCAGTCATGTGATAAAACCAGCCATTAAATTTGTCCGGGCTGGTAAGCTGACGAGCTAACTGGTCATCTAGCTGTCACCTATCTTGTCTGTAAATTGTAATGCTGTATCTCAGTCCGTCGCAGGATAAATTTGTAGTTGACATTCGACGACGTAAGTAGTTAAGTACAGCTTTAGGTTTTTACGTCATTTGTAGAAGACATCAAATAAAAAAGATGCTTTAGTTCCCAATGAAATGAAATAACTTGTTGCAGGGATGGTGAAACTTGAGTCTCACTTTATGGAACTCCCTGTCATTCATTGCGAAGCTCTCCGTAAGTTTGTGTTCCAATCATCTTGTTTATTTATGATTTTAATTGTACAATGGTCAATGGAATACAAATAAACACTTCAAATTATCTTTTGCCGAACATACTAGGGGCCATGTACCCGCTCCTTCTCTACTTACGTTTGTAGTTTCACAGACAACTGGATTTACCTATAATTTATCTATCTAGCCGCTGATGATGCGTCGCTGCAAAATATCAGTACTTTCAATTGAAAAATTGTCGACAGTGGCCAAGAAAAACGAAGGCGGCTCTGCTCACCGCATATCACCATCTGAATTCTGGTTCATTTTCAATCCTCTGAGCTCTTTGATCTATCCTCAAGATACAAACCTATTCTCCTCGAAATCCGTGGCCCGTTCCAGGCTGGACAGTCACGGCTTCATCAAACGTGAGAGACTCCCCAGGAGCATGTTCTAGTGCGATGGGGTAACCGTTAGCGGGGCTGAGAGTGGTCTGTCCATCGAGACGGACTCAGCCTTGGTGGAGCACCAGGATGGCCATCCAGATCAATGCAATGTCTCCCCTAGTCCCTAATATCCTTCCAACTCAAAAACTGTCCCATTATACCGGAAAGGCTCAACGCAGCAATACAATGACAAACAAATGTTTATAATCATAATTAATTGACACATGTTTCTCTTCACAGGACTGGTGATAGTCACAACTCAGGAAGGCACCGCCGACGGGCACGACAGGTTTCTCCGATCAGCCAAAGCAGCAGAGGCAGAGGTGAGTGAATACTTTCAGCTTAGCCTTTCCACACTCAATGTCTCCAAATAAAGGTCAAGTAAAAACAGCCTCAGGTATGCCTAATCTTGTATCACTTCTGTTGGGAAGAAATTCATAGTCAAAAAGATATACTGATATCAACGTTTCAATTAAGTCGGAAATTTTCACGTGCACAGAAGATGTGCGAAAAGTAGTGCCAAAACAGCGGCACTCCGCGCCGCGCCGTTTTGAGATATGTGCGGAAAACTACAGAGGTGTCCAACCCTCCCCCTCTCCGGTCGGCGCGGATTCTCTCCTATTACAGCATACATTACTCCTTTAGGGCATCTAGTGTATGGTCTCCCTCATAGCAAAATTGTGTAGGTATTTGCTGTCATTTTATGAAAAGGTTTGGCGTTAATACCTCAATTGGGTGTAGCTGGCGAGAGCGTGACAAACTTTATAACGACACGTCAATAATAATTGCTTGCGTTTGTGAGCTGCTTTTATCCTGATCAAGTAGACGTGAAGCACCCAACTGTTTTACAACCAGCAGTGTCAGCATCCAACAAATAAAAACCCAATAAAACCGGAATTCCAGCACACACAGAGACCGCGAAATGTCAGCTGCTGGTACGGCTGCACTAAAAACTCAGCAGACAATTATCGGGGTTACATGAGCACAGTAAATACGTATTTAGCCGCTAATTCGAATTAGGAACGCATTACCGACTCATGTAGCCACCTGCTAGTACGAATCGGCGATCCGATCCGCGGTTACATGAGCAAAGCAAATACGTATCACGATGCGGATCAGGAGCGTACTACCGACTCATGTATCCACCTGCTAATACGAATCGGCGGTCCGAACAAAATCCGCTGAGAAAGAGGCTTAGAAGCGAATAGGACCAAGATACGTATTACAGGAACTATTTCTTCGCAAAAAGAAACATTAAAATGCAAAATAATAGGTATTTTTTCATTTTCTTCTTTTGAAATAATATTTTAAAAAATATGTCGGTATTTTGCCAAGTTTTCAACAATAAATGTAGTGAAAACCAAATAGTAAATATCCACATAATTTCAGTTGAAACATTTTTCTGACAGCACTACAGACGAATCAAGAGAGGCAATTGCCCAATGAGTCAAAACAAGACAACTTTATGTTCAACTTTTTTTTTTGTTAAGTTAATTGAGAATGTTTTGAGCAGATTAAATGCAAAAAAAGACATAAGATAATAAATTTTTAATTTAGTCACCTCTATTGCTACGGAAGTGCGCCACATTTGTATGCTATTCCGTTTGTAATGCGCATCGGGCCGAGAGCCAAACTAGATCCGTTTGACGTCACTGATACGAATTTGCTCATGTAGTCGGTGCACTGAATGCGTTCTTGGGGAGCTGATGCGAATTAGCGTCGTGCGTATTTGGAACGGATCGCTCATGTAACCGAAACGTCCGAGGCACACGATTCGGGCCGTATTTCACAAGAACTATTCTTTGCTGACTGGAAGCGTCAAAATGCAAAATACTTAACAATTTTTTTATTGGCTACCTCGTAGAAAATAGCAAAAAAATGTTGGTATTTTGGTTAAGTCTTTGCATGTGAAATAAAATGAATGAAATATTTTGATAGATAATTTTTTCTGACCACCCTGCTGTCGCTGCATGGCGAATCAGTGCCCACTGGCTTAAAACAAGAAAACTTTGTTTTCATTTTTTGATTTCATGTTAATTTAAAATGTTTTTGAGCCTATCAAATGATATAAGTATTTAAAATTTAGCTCAGTCGTCCCGGTAAATGCCGTAACTGCGCCATGACTGTACGCTAATCCTATTCCGTTTGTGATGCGAATTACCGGCCGTCGAGGAGTCAGCCCGGGTGAGCCAAACAAGATCCGTTTGACGTAGATAAAACGAATTAGTCTCATGTAACCGGTGCCGTAGATCCGTTTGTGGGGAGCTGATGCGCATTAGCGTAGTGCGTATTTGGAACGGATCGCTCATGTAACCCCGGTAAATGTCACCTGACGAGTTTTTACGCAACGAGTCACTGTCCATGACAATGCCCCCTCCCCGTCCCCAGGTCATCGCCTTACCGGCCGGCGAGTCAGCTGACAGCGGCGCTCAAGGTCAAGAGGTCACTCGCCTGAGGGCTCAGCTAGAGCAGTCAGCTGTCTCCCCGCGGCGTTTGGTGCTCGTTCTGCGCGTGCCCACTTCTGACGTCATCGTGGCTGCTGCCGCCGGAGAGCTACAGGCCGAGTTTGAACAGCAGAAGGGACGCGTAGTATTCGTGGCTGATGTGAAATGTCGACCCGACGAAAAACTGGCCAGCGAGTACCCGGTCGGCCCGGGGTACCGGTTCCTCAACTCGAATGGTAGGCAACAGGGGGCTTTAGACTTTTAGAGGCAACGAGCGAGTAAAATTTGAATGAGTCCGTGGAAAGCAGCTGTAAATATTATAAGTCTCGTAACATCCCTAGCGTGACGCTATCACCTAGGGCTGCAAATGATACGCTGCAAAGCAATCCTTCATAATAAACGAAGAATTGTTATTTTACGGTTTTAGTTTGCTGTAAGAAATGTGACGCTGACAATGCATATCAACACGTGGCACCATGTTCGCAATCGATCTGACATTTCAGGAGAGACCCTTATGAATTCAACAGGCCAGCTCTCCCGATTTCATATATTTGTTATAAGTGTAATATCTTGCATGACAATTATTTGTTATTAGGAAATGTACCGAGAGACAGATCCAACCCATTGATACCCAAACACTCAGCGTCTGCGTTTGTATTTTCAGCGTTTATTGGTTACGGCCCGGACCTGGTGGCCCTCCTGTCGGACGAGACCCTCCTGAAGGACGGAGGCGACCAACTGGCCTTCACCAAACTATTCCTGGACGAGAAGCGGAGGGAGAAGTACGGAGTACGCATCGACAACGCTGCCGAGCTGCTGCAGAACCTCGAGGGAGCCGAAGGTGGGTTCGTGAGACCCGACGGACAGCATGCTCTGCATTGGTCCGAGACAATGGACTGACGTATTGCATGACGTACTGCATTGACAATGGGCACGTATGTATATTGTATTTATTCATTCTTTTACATCGTGTGGTCATCCCTTAAACGTACCACAAAAACGTACCTATAGCGTAAAAAACATGATCAACATCATAGGGCTGTTCTTGAACACGAGTCCAAGCACGAGACTATTATCATTAAGCAAGTAGGCATTGCGCTATTTTTTATCATCTTTTTTCTTCAACAACTTGTTCAAACGTCTTACCTCGTAAATGTATGTCGTACGCTAGCCTTGGCTTGTTACAGTTTCACTATATGCCTGAATTGGCAAAAAAGAAGCATAACTGAGTGTCAGCTATCTCCCCTACCACTCACTGGGGCCGTCTCAGCTGATCATAACCGTTCTATCTATCTCTCCGCAGAAGAGGTGGTGGTGCGCTTCAAGGGTCGGCACGCGTTCCTACAGAACGTGCCACTGAGTACGGTGCCCCTGGTAGCACTGGGCAGCGGCGCCTCCAAACAACACCTGGACACCCTGGGCAACTACCTGGCCGGCGTGTGGGACCCGCGAGAGGGCTGCCGCACCTGCTGGGACGGTCAGAAGGAGCTCGGGGACAAGGTGAGCTGCGGCCGGGGTCCAGAGAACAGCCGTGGCATGCCTCGGCAACGGCGAGTTTTTTTATGAAGAAGGATTACCAATGATAATTGGATTTGGATTGTTTGCTGTATAAAAACTTACAAAGCCCTGCGAATTAGGCACAGCTAATAATTTTACGTCTTAGCATAACCATCAATCAATTCATTTTCTATCTTAGTTCACAATCAAAACTAGGCCGGCGGTATGTGCCATATTAACACGCGCACTGCAGGGGGGGTTGTTTTCAACCCCCCCCCCCTGTGGTTTTTCGCAAATCGCGAGAAAACGGCGGCGCGTAGCGCCGCCAAATTTTGCATACCTGTTCTCCCAACTTTTGCACACCTTGAGTAAAAATTTTGACCCCAGGTGACCTATGGTCAGGTCACCAGGTCAGGTCAAGTGACCCTACCTCGAAACGTAAATTTCGAAGTTTGCAATCCCACCAAGCCTACAGTTGTTGAGATATGATCGTGAAACCCACAGGAAATATGAGATGATGTTTTTTCGTACTCCAGCGTAGACCTAACAATGATCCACAGGAAATAGTAAAGTCATCACGAGCTACAACTTGTATATCTCGGAATTTTTATATCGATGACCTAAGGTCAGGTCATTTTTGCGACCGGCCCGACGCCTAAAAACCCTCATCAGAGTCAGCACGCCTGCTAAACACAAGTCCCGGCGGCGTCCGCCCATTTTTCCGCCATCTTTCTGACGTCGAGCCATCCATGTTCTGCCTCCAGACGGATACCTTCCCCCGCGTTCTGCTAGCTGTGTTCATCGACCAGCCGACTCCTTTCCTCGAGGAGTTCTTCAACAACATCTGGAAGCTCAACTACCCCAAGAGCAAGATCGACCTTCTTATCTACAACGCGGCGCCTTTCCATGATAAGATGGCGGCTGACTTTGTCGAGCACGGCAGCGGGATTTACGCGTCCGTGAAGTTGATTGGTCACGAAGAGAAGATCAGCAAAATGGCGGCCAGGGAACAGGCCATGTAAGTTTGTCAGTGAAAAACTGAAACATGAATTCGACAACTGATTGTGAGACGTTTTATCAAAGACGGTTAACGATGTTGGGTTTTCATGACTACCTATTTTGCGTTGTTTACCCTTACCTTCCTACAACACATGCAGCTCTCACCTTCCTATGGCATTTTCAGTGAAGCGGGCATGGAAGGAAAAGCAGAGTTCTTCATGTTCGTTGATTCTACGGCACACCTGAACAACCCCCACGCTGTAAAGCTGCTCATTGAACAGAACAGGTACGTAAATGGCAAATGCATGCGCATGTATGTACATGTTCCCTACGTAGACGGTATTACCTATGAGGATTTTCAATTTTAAGATTTTGGTACGTTCTTGCAGTTATGCTTCACGCTTACCCTTGCTCTCTCATTTCCAGGGACATCGTGGCGCCGATGCTGATACGCCCTTACTCATTCTGGGCCAACTTCAAGATTGAGCTTTCGGTAGACAGAAACAACCCCAACGATATCTCATCAGAGTACAAAACCATTGTAACAAACAAGAGAAAGTAAGTTGAATGAGATAAACCACATTTTAAACAGTAAACACTTCTCAGGACGCCTATGACCAGTCGGGATAAGACTAGAACATTCAGCTAAGGACTTATAACAGTCAGCATAAAAGTTTGTTTCTACAAAAGCAATCGTGTTTAAAGTCAGTAGACCGCAGCATTCCACAACAAACCTCAGGGGTTGGCAGTCTTACGTAGCGAAGCACCACGCTCCAAGACATAATCAACGGTCCAAGTGAAACAAAAACACCTAGCATGATCATATCGCATCTAAAACAAAGCCGTGAGTCACGGTTCACACGCAACATCTAACCGTGTCGTTGCAGGGGCCTCTGGAACATGCCCTACATCTCAGAATGCTACCTGGTGAAAAGGGCCGTATTGGAAAATAAAAACACCCGACCCGACTTCAGCGACGGAAAACAGACAGACGTGCACGAAGTGTTCAGCTCGACCATGCGTCAGGCGGTATGTAGTCCACGTGTTTTTTTTTTCTAGCCTTGTGTCTTACTGTGGTAATTATCAGAAATGAATCTAACGAGTTAGGTATCTCGAATTGCAAGGGAAACAGTTGTCCAGATAGCGTGCATTTATTTGATTTGATGCAAGCCAATTATAAAGATAGGATTACAAACTGAGCTTCATCGGAGTCATTTCAATCATAAGCGGCAAGAGCCAGCGTGCACTGGTCGAAATTTAGCTAGCTTTCTTAAACGTACGTATCCCACAAAATATAATTCGCCGCTTCATACCATTCGTTCGCTCCCCACACAGGGTAAATTTATGCTGCTGTCGAACCGTATCGACTTCGGGCACCTGGTGGACCCGGCTGGCTTCGACACGTCCCGCCTGCACAGCGAGATGTGGCAGATATTCGCCAACCGGTGGGACTGGGAGCGCCGATACATCCACGAGAACTACTCCAAGGCGCTCGACGAGAGCCTGCCCGTCGCGGAGGTGCGTGAGGCTGAGACTTGTGGTGGAGGTGGGGTTCTGAATTCTGATGTTAGTATGGTTTCCCTTCCAGCACCAGTCTGATTTGACGGTGGTAGGGTAATCGTAACGGTGGCAGCGGTCGTATAGTCTCTCTGGAAAGTACCGATACACTGGAAAAGGAAGTACCGGACGACTAAAATCGGCTTGGCCCTCTCCGCCTCCCCTCGCTCCCCGACATCCTCATCTATCCACACGTCATAGGTTTCGGTGACTCAAATTTAGCAGTCCTCCTTCGGTCGGGCTTGACGGCACCGCCGCACCGTACATCGGTTCTTTCAAGAGAAGCTACACAGACGAGGCCAAACAGATGAACATACTGAAAAATAGCATGTTGGAAAAGCTGATCTAAAAGATATTTAGTGTGAAATGCTGTGATTACATATTGTCTTTGTCATGGATGATACAAATTCAGTGTTATGGGGGCTGATTGTTATTCAATGTTTGCTATTATTTTGGCCGTGTATCTGTTTGAGTGACATATGCTACATTGCTAAAAGTTTCACCGTTTTCCGTTTCTTTTTTTCAGCCGTGTCCGGATGTGTTCTGGGTGCCGATGATCACCGAACGCTTCTGTCAGGAGCTCATCGACACGATGGAGGACTTTGGACAATGGTCCTCCGGTACGCACGAGGTGAGGAACGGGGACATTTCTGTTAGAGATAATCGAAACCACGGAACGGTTACTTTCGATCATCCGATTTGAATTTTCGAGAGAGCCATGGCCCTCGGGTAGGTACACATGTTATGGGTGCCCACTGCTCACCCTATATGGATTAACTAATTTGTGTTTGTATTTGACAGTTAAAACACTCTCCACAGTAAAATTGGCTATCGACTATCGCGTCATAGTTAAAAGGAAAAACAAGTTAAGATGCGCTCGTAAGTCTTATCACACAGCAAGCAAACCATATCACACATTAATCGTTAAGAACACAGACACAACTCGGAAACAGAGCGTTAAAAACTTCCCAGAGAGAGATTTCCGAAGTCATGAGGCAGACGGTTATACTCGTATAACTGGCCTATGCTGTAGAGCAGGCGCCGCGCCTCCCTGCTCATCGGTCCTCACGTGTGGGAGAGACAGATCAGTGTCCCGCCGTGTTGAACGTGAGCGCAGGGAAGAGGTGGCCAGGATTTGGGAGGACATGGTCTCCGGCTCTTCGGTGCAGCGTATTTCGTGGAGGAACTTGAGAGAGTGGGTTTCGTACAACTGGGGGGCGGTGGGCCAGCCCAGTTCCCCTCGCATGTCGGCGATATGCCGGTCAAATTTTCTAATAGGATATGTAGGTTACTGGTTAATGATCCACAGAAAGGTATCGTTCGAAATCTCTTATTGAACCGTTATCTGGAAAACCAAAGTCTTTTCAAACGAATCTTTGTATTTTCCTTCACTACACCATTATTTTGATTTCCGGATACGCTGAAAATTCGCGTTATAGATGGTGTTGCCATACGTTTTGTGATAAATGATTTTGGCTTGCCAGCCGGCTTTCAAACAGAATGGGCGTTGAAGCACCTGATACATTTCAGATTCATTTACCCTCTATAAAGCGGCTGCAGTGTGGCGGAGCGGTCAGGTTGGTACGGATACGCCTGCCGTCATCCGTGCAATACTCCTGCTTTCCGTCGCGGCAGAAGAAGCTGTCGGGCTTGCAGACCAGGTCAGCGCACGAGGGCTCGCCGCTGGAGTTCACGATGCAGATGGGCGCAGCGATGTTGGGCGGCGGGCACTGGATGCGGTCGCAGGGGTTCGGGAAGGCGGGCGCCGCGCACTTGGTGGCCCCGCTGGCACTCGGACAGCAGAGGAGGTTGGACGGACAGTCGGTGTCATACTGACACTGGCTGACCGAGACACCGCTCACCAGCTCCCGAGGGCGACAGAAGCCCGACTTGGGCCTGGAGCGCGGCACGCAGTCTGTCGTGAACTGGCAGAACGGAAATGGGCTGCAGTCGGGCTCGGCGCCGGCTCTCGGCTCTGTCACACACAAGCCACGGCCACACAGCTGCCTCGCACATCGGTTCGGGATACATTCGGGCACTGGGTAGCAGGGCGGAGCAGGCGGCTGAGCGGAGCAGGCGACCTTCTTGAGCACACACACCTCAGAGCCGTCAGCAGAGCCGGGACAGACGACGTCTTCACAACTGGGCGGCCCACTCGACTTCACACATCTCTGAACATAGTAACACACTCTGACCCCTTTGTGGACATACTTCAGACAGTTGAGCTTCCTGTGGCAACTAAATCCTGGTGGGCACTTCTTCGCACACTGCTTGCTTGCTTTCTGAGCTTCCGTTGTACTGAAGAGGAGGAGGAGCAGGAGGGACAACAACATCACTCTGACGGGCGTCAGAGGCTGGGCATTGAGGCCGCCCCAACGGTGAAATCCTGCGCCAGCCATGAGATGCAAACGTTGGAGAGAGACAACGGTGTCCCGACTGATCCGCCTCGCTGCCAGTGAACAAACGAGTGACGAAGGGACCCCACTGCTGACGAACAAACGAGTGACATGTGGACCTCCACTGCCTACGGACCACTCAACACCCCCGGACGGTCGTCAACGCGACGCAGTTTACCAGCAAATGTCACAGAACATCGATTTCAAAGGCCGTCAGTGTTTCGGGCAGTGCCGGGATTCCACAAACCAAGTGACGATGGAACTCGGGGGCGTATAAATGTCATGTGTATGAGCCTCGCTCTGTGGATTCCCAAACAGGAGACTACATTGTTCGCACTGCCGACTTTTGGTCCCATTCTTTCCATGCAACGCCCATAGGGCTAATGTTAAAATGCCAAAATCAAGGGGGCACGGTGCCCCGGTGCCCTCCCCGTTCCGCCGCCTATGGCTGTGAACGTTATTTTCAGAGAGCTTATGTGCGCCAGTTCACCACCATTAGCGAAACAGTAAATTTGTCATGAGAATTGATTTATTATCGAATCTTTTCTAAGCTTTCATCGTTGACACCAATCACTGTGCAGTTATATGTGAAATATCCAAGACAGTTAGGATAAATGATAACAATAACAGGTCAAATTTATATTTAAACACACAAAGTAGGTATGAAAATACCTTGATCACTGTGTTAAACAGAAATGGGGACGGGACAAAATCCTCATTTCTGTTTAACGCAGTGATCAACCTATTTTCATACCGAATGTTATGTGTGTTTCAATAAACATTTGACCTGTTATTGTTATCATTTATTGTAACTGTGCAGTTAGTTGACTTGTCACCTTATCAACACCAATGACAGGGCACTTGGTAACTTCTGCAGTTAGAAGTTACCTTATTGGTTTTTCGCCTGCATCGTACTTTCTGCCACAAAGGCAGCATGAGTGTAATGTGTGTACGTATAGCCGGTGTAGCCACTGTGTACCTACAAGGTGTATGTCAAGGCTGATGTCTAATCAGTTGAAAGAAAGTCAGTAGTCAACAATATTCAATAGTCCCATTTTCGTCATATCCAGCTGGAACGGGTCTAAGATGATCGTCCATATGTTTTCAGTCATGAACCGTGCCTTTTTGCTACACAGGATTCGCGTATTGAGGGCGGCTACGAAAGCGTCCCGACCCGCGACATTCACATGAAGCAGATCAACTTTGACCTCGAGTGGCACCAGTTTCTGCGGGAGTACGTCCAGCCCGTACAGAAACGCGTCTTCATGGGATACGACTCCGATGTAAGTTGGCAGAGGGCAGTTCTAGGTTGACTGTGAACGATTGCGAACGTCCCGTTTGAATACGGAACGAACAGATCGATATGAGGGTCACCGGCTGATGGGCGTTGCCTTTCGGTCTGTCGTAGGTCTTAGACATGAGAAGATCGTATGAAATGAATGTTTCGTATTGTAGGTTAGAGATCGGCCTCTTCAATTGTGGGGAATATTTTTATAAGACGGTAGGACAGAACTCTTACCCTCGTTGAAACATGAGAAAAGCTAGGCCACAAAATGTTCCGTTGGATTGTTCTGGTTTGGGAATTATTGAGAAGATATTGATGATGAGATGCATTCTCAAGCCGCACACCGCCAGTATGAATCAGGGCGGATATGACAACTGCCATTGCATTCGTGGCCAGAGGCTAGAGCCATAAAACGCTATCGTCCGTCCAAGATAGTTTGGTGAAACTATGTTTCACGCTCCCACCACCAGAGGCGCTGTGCGCCACCCGGTGCCCGCTGACCGGTGCGCCCCTGTTTTCCCGCAGCCTCCTCAGGCCAACCTGAATTTCGTGGTGCGTTACCGTCCTGACGAGCAGCCGGCTCTGCAGCCGCACCACGACGCCTCCACCTACACCATCAACATCGCGCTCAACACGCCGCACAAGGACTACGAGGTGAGACGCGGCGCTGTCTGCCGCTGGGACGCCCGACCTCTATCGTACATCACCTGGACCTTACCGGGCCACTGTAGTAACACCGGCCGATTTCTGCATCAGGTGTGGTTTCATCCTCCATCCTTTACTTTACTCTCCAATTGATTCGTTTCTACCTGGCATCGAATGACCCATCTATCGCCAAGGTCCTCCTATCTGACCCCGTTCAACCCGGGACCCCTGTCGACTTATGTGTTTCCAAGTGACTCTTGCATAACCCCTGCAGACCAAAGTGACACTTCTGTGCTTTAGTATCACACATTTATGACCCCGGATGACCCCTCTGTGACCTCGCTGTGACCCTCCGGTCCCCGTTTTGCGTCTGACGCTTGATGACCTCGTCTGACCCGTTGCTAGCCTCTGACGACCTTTATGACCCCTGTCACCACTTGTGACCCTGCCTGACCCTGTCTGACCCCTAGTGACCCTCTCTGACCCCGTTTGGCCCGCCGCATGACCTCGTGTAACCTTGTGTGGCACATGTATGATGTAACCCCAAGTGACCCCAGTTGACCTCCTCTGACCCCGTGTGACCTCTATCTGACCCCGTTTGACCTTCTCTGACCCCGTGTGGCCGGCAGGGCGGCGGCTGTCGGTTCGTCCGCCAGGACTGTTCGGTCACGGAGAGCCGGCGAGGCTGGATGTTGATGCACCCCGGCCGACTGACCCACTACCACGAGGGACTACCGGCCACCAAGGGCACGCGCTACATCTTTGTGTCGTTTGTGGACCCTGAGTAGGGTGACGCTAGTGTGGCATCAGGGCTGGGTGGAGTGGCTAGCAGCAGGCTTGAGTTGTTACAGCAGGTTATAAAGGAGGAATGAGTTGGAATGGAACCTGAATGGGACGAAGCTGCGTTAGTACTTAGTAGCCAGTGTATTGGTGTTGAGAATGGTTAGCTATGGACTCTGCTATTTAGGTTTGGATCGACTGCGACTGGACTTAGTGGACTTTGCTTTGATAATGAACTTAGTGGTCAGTGATCAAGGAAGCCAGAGAAAATAATGGACTGAGACAAGAGTCCACGGTACAGCCGATGCTGGAACATATCGATCAGTGCGGATCAGTAGACAGCTGATGAACGTGGTGGCAACTGCAGTGATGCACAGATGCTGTGCTCGTTGGACACGTTGGAAGTGCGTGTGACGTAAAAACAGTGTCTTATGGTGACGGGAGATATTAGATGAAATGCATGATAGTGAGCAAGGCCGTTAAAACGAAAAGGTGATTTGAGGGTAGTCTCCCTCAGACGCAATCATTTTAGGCAAATGCTACCTTCAAATGTGAATGTTGAGCCTGAAATAAAATTGGTGTGATACAAGATGTGTCCTGGGCAAATACAGAGACCAGGCTGGTGTGCTCGTGAGTACCTAAGTTGAAACATTTTGCAAAAAAAAAGGCGGAAAAGTGAGTCAGGCACTCATGGGGAAGGGGCGTAGTATAAGAAAACATTTAGTAAAATCCGAAGCAGCATCTATCCGCTTATACTAAGAACAAAAAGGAAACATATAAGAAAAATACGAGTTACTAAAGTGTGCATCGATCAAAGCAATAGACTTGTCAAAATGCAGTTTATGGCTGAGTGAATGCTAAGAACATTTTCATTGTCTTATGTTTAAGATTAAACGACGTTTCTGTTCATTCTCTGAATCATTACTCTTGTCGAAAAAACGATTCAGTGAAATCGAAGCACACGTCCTTCCCAGAGCCCACATAAAATACCACTAACCTGAAAATTCAGGGCGGTGTCACGGTCGCCGGTGCCCCTCCTATGCGTCACACGTGTACTCCCCCCCCCCCCTCCCCGTCCCCCACATCCTGTGGTCATGACGGCCACACATTTAAATGTCAGCTGCACGCAGAACTGTCACCCAATTGTCGCCCACTGCGTGAAAACGAGAGTGATGACTGGACCCGGTGACGCCATCGGCGCTACTTAACCATCGGGGTCACTCAGGACAGACATTCGCACCCGACGAGCTGCAGTGAACACCCTCTGCTTCAGTTGATCGTTCTGTGGAACAAGAGACGAGGCTGAGTGAGGCGCGGCTTCCCAAGCTTGAGGCTGACGCAAGACGAGGAAATTGACAGTGTCTCCCTTCTGCTCAGAGTTTCGACACCATGACGCGTTTCGTATGGTGGCTGCTGCTCACGGTGCTGTCCTGTTCAGCGACCTCCAAACCCCGAAGTCCACCCGCCGGTTGTGACCTCAGCAGCCCGACCTCTCTCAGTGCCTGCGTCAGAAACATCATTGAGGCTAGTCGACCGGCCCTCAAGAGCAAGTACGACCCGATCCATATTAAGAGCCACTCCGGAGGAAACAAGGGTTTGAAGTGGTCAGTGAAAGATGTGTACATCAACGGTCTATCAGAGTTCACCATCGGAAAGCTGGACGTTCGCCTGAAGGGTACGAAGATCGCCGTCAACATGGGAGTCTCTTGGCCCAAAGTCGTGGGCAAAGCAAAGGTGCGGGCGCACAAGTGTATGAAGATCTTCTTCCACCGACAGTGTTTTGATGCGCACGGTGACGCAACAGTCAAACTCATCCAACCATCAGTGCGTCTTTCAACAGCGTTAGCTCTATCACTAAAAGGGGGAAAGCCCAAGCTAAGTCCTTCGAAAACGGACATCAAGGTCAGCCTACCGGGCATTCATATCGACCCCAAATTTGATGGCGCCGTGGGTCGGATCCTCGGCATGGTCAAGCAGCCGTTGGACCGCTTCGCCAACAAGTTTGCCAAGAAATTTTGGGCGCAGAACAAGGCCAAGATTGAGAAGCTGATGGAAGCCAGGTTCAATGAGCTCGTCGTTGATCTGTCTCAGAAGCTGCCGTCTTTACTAACAGGGCTCAGCAAAGGGAACCTAGATCTCCCTGACATCAAACTCTTCGGCAAATAAGTGCATGGATAACGTAACCACTAGTGGTTCAAGCACCAATCATTGAGTATGAGTGTAACTGTAAAAGTGAGAAGTTCCTAATTTAATAGCATATTTATTCCACTGCTGTTGTTTCTTTTCGTTGAATGTCTTTCTATTTACCGCTATATATGTTGAAAACGTTATTGCTGATCTGCAAGGACGCTTGTCGAAGCGTCCTCCGATGAAGTTCTCCAAGTGATCTGCTGTGTGCTGCCACTTTTTTTATTGTGCGTTTTCATCCATTGTCCAATTAAAAACGAGTCTTGTCACCAATAAACAAGCGACTGGAAAATAAAGCGTTATGTGCTCCATCAGGACACCTAAATAAATATCAGACATGTGTATAACAAACCACCAGTGATTACTATCTCGATTTTAATTGGCCACCCCCAACAATTTGATCAACATTAATTTCGACTCTCGAGACCTTGGGCGTTACCCACCAAGCTACTCCTTACTATTCAAGTACAATTCAGTCTACACACATGAGTACTGAGTAGGCGTTGTATTAGGATCTTTACCCATGTTGCCAGCCACTTCAGCTGCCTCCATATCCATTAAAGAATCTTCGTGGTAAAATGCGTCTCAGTCCGGGATGAGGCGAAGCTGTCACCCTCCAGCAGTGGTGTAAGCGACGTTCTCCTGAGATTACTCCGTCTTGTCTGGGTCCTTGGGGGCAGTCCTTTTGCTCTCGGTGAACTCCTTGCCTTGTTTCCCAGCCCTGGAAGTGGTGCCCGTCGTACCGATTCCCTCAGCTTTGCAGGAAGATAGGAGGTGACCAATTGCCTGAGCTGATTGGTTATCATGGTCGTCAGTGCAGGTTTCTGTTTCTCCCAAAGTCTCAGCAGTAGGTCCTTGGTAAGCAGTGTCGCCTTGAGCCAGAACTGAGCCAGTTCAATACCTCCCGTGTTGTCGAGCTTCGTCATCGAATCCACGCCGCTGAAGAGGACATCTATCTTGGCTTCCTCAGCGGATACATTCAGCCCACCGGTCCTCAAATTGTCAAGATGCATGGTGGTCGACACTACAGCAAGAGCTCTCTTGACCTTCAGATTCGCACGGCCGTGGATATCGACACAGCGACCTAGCTGTATGAACTCGTCACACACCCTGACGACCCCGTTCATGCCAACCGCCAGCTTCGGCCACCGGATCTGGAACCTGACGTTGAAGTGGGTCACATTCCTCCTCGACAAGGGTCGCACCTGCACCTTCGTGACGCTGAAGTCTGCCGCCCCGCTAACCAGAACCTCTGTGACCTTCCATGGTGCCCCAAACACTTCTCCAGAGATATCCGGTAGCTTCTGCGAGGACTGCAGCTTCTTCATGAGTGCCGGTCGCGCAGAGAGCAGAAGCTTCTTCACGCAGGGCTGTAGACTGGACGGTATGTGGAGGCTGCAGCGGGGCGCTGCGCTGACACTCAGCGCGAACAGGAGGGTGATGAAGAGAAGACCGCTGCGTAACCCGGGAGACATGGTGTGATCGTAACACGTACGCGGCTGTTCTGATCAACCGCTGTCACTGTGCTGGAGAGTCGAGGACTGGAAGATTGCTGACAGCCTATCACTAGCTAAAAAGCCAGCGCATATCAGTCGAAAAGTTCGCAGAATCTCCTACGGGATCAACGTTTTTGGGACGATTCACCACACTCGGGCATTCGAGGTTAAACCGAATGGTCTGTAAAATCAACTCAACATGCCACTCACTCGTCACTGTTTCACAACGACCACTGATCCAATTCAGCCCACATCCGTCAGCGTGGTTCTGAGCGCAGCACGACGAACAGGACGGACTCTCTTCACCGTCAGGGAGTTCAATGTCAGGCTCAGATCTGACGGGGCTCCCGGGCTGCCACCCACGCGCGTGACCGACCTCTGTCACCCTGCCGTCACGTCCACCGCAGTGGTGTGCAGGGAGCTGTCACATTGCTGTCACGTGGGCTGACGACCTCGTGGGTGTGAAATGTGACAGTTGGGTGTTGAATCACATCGGGTGTCATTAGGAGCAGATAGAAGGGCTTCTACGTCGCTCTGTGACTGATATAGCTCTTGTTTTACACATAGGACTCCTCTGTGCTAAGAGGAAATGTATCAGCATAAGTTATATAAGCAGCACTGTTGTTTCTTCATCAGTAAACCACTAGGGTGTTATTTTCCAGTCAGCATCTCAGCACGGAATACCGCAGGCTTACCGCAAAACTGGTTACCGAAGCTCGACGTTTCTGATCGGCGAGCCTTCACGTTCAGTAGCTAGACAGCCGGCACATTGAGATGGCAAGCATGTCAGATAGATTATCTTCACACGCACGTTTATGATTCATTTTACTTTTAAATTCTTGTCACTTGCACAACTGTGTGCAATACTCATGTGTTAAATATCGTACCAAGTAGGTACAAACACATTCGGTGATAAATATAAATGAACGTACCAAAAACACAATCATAACCAACATTATAGGATATCGTGTCAAAATCGTCTTATCTTTATTAACGAGTCCACGCTGACCACTGACTAATGCCTTGGCTGCGTCACTGGGCCAGGCCGCTGCTAATCTCTCAATCCCCGCAGGTGTGACCTGCACTAGGCGTTACACGACGAGCTGAGATTATGATTTAGTGGTGTTTATGTCTGAATATGCGGCCAAAGTTGCACAATACGTGAAACATGAAATGTGCAGGCATTCCAGTTCTATTCAGGTTTATCATGAACATGCGAGGCTGCGCAATGTAATGCTCAAATCCAATTCAGCCAAAAGCGCGAACTGTGTTGCAAGTGAAGAGCCGAATTGCGAATTAGGCGCATGGGCCCCAAAGAAGACTCAAATACGGTTAGCTAAGCTTCATTATATTTTCAGATGCATACGGTAAAAACAAGGTTCCATTGAAGTATACTTCAATGGAACTTCAATGGAAATGGAAGTATACTTCAATGGAAGTATGCTTCAGGGCTCTGCTCGGTGGGAAATCTTACAATATATAGTGTAAGAATCCTCACCGAGCAGAGTCCGACTGTGATGCTGCAATAAAGGCTGTTGAGCTCGTAAAAAAGAGAACCATTTACACATGTGATCCGGAAGCACTCTCGTTCAGATTTCTAGCGATGTCCGGATACCGTTACGGAACTAGCTTCAGCCGCACAGAAACATTTGCGTTTAAGCCCTCATGTTTTCATCACTAACAGGTTTTGCATTCGTAAAGCGCGCTCGCATTGTAAGCGAATCAGCACCTACCGAAATTGTTGATGATCATAGCAGTTAATTTTGGCTTCCAGGAAAGTGAGCACGTAATAGGAACTTGTTCGAACTAGATATAGGGAAAGTGGATCAACAATGTTGTCATTCGTATAAAACTAAGAAGACACTAGAATCTGAATCAGTTTTGAGGGACATCCATCGACAGGTAGGTTTGAGCCTTACTCTGAAATGGTGAAAATGATGTAATGTGTCTGTGCTCTAGTTAGGATAAAACATAAGCAGTAAGCACGTTGTTATTGATTGTAGTGGTCAGCTTTGATTTATAAAGCTTTTTATAATCCCATGTCTCACAGATAAGCGTCAAACACCATGCCGACCAACGTCAAAAAGCATTTAACAGTGAGATTTAGAACATTGAAACAACGATCACATGAACTCTTTTTCGTGCCTTATCAGTCATATTATAGCCAAATTCCAAAGGTCAAAAGATGGCTTACCTTTTGTCTCTTCTTTACCAGGCATGGCGGAAGCGAAGATGAAGATCATCCTTCTCTTCATCTGCGCTGCGGCAACTGCTGGAGAGCTAGGAGTCGCTGCTAGGAAGACCAACATCCGGTCCGGCATCGGCTCCGTCACTCGTTCCAGCATCAGCTCAAACATCGCCTCCAGGCTTCCCGCAAGGATCGCCTCCAGGATGAGCTCCAGAAATTCCTCAAAGGCTGCACCTCTACTCAGCTCCAGCTCCGATTCCAGCACTGTCTCCGTCTCCAGCAGTGGTGCCTCAGACCCGTCCCGTTTCTCGGCCAGTGTCTCCAGCAGTCACGGGCCGGGCGCCACCTCCTTCCTGAGTTCACAGTCAAGTGTTAGTGGCAGCGGCAGCGGCCAGGCGCAGGGTTTCGCCGGCAGCTCGGCCACAGTCAACGGACAGACGATCGGCCTTGGTGTGGGAACCCAGGTCGGCCCCGGGGGCTCCAGTGTGGGGACCCAGGTCGGCCCCGGGGGTCTCAACGTAGGGACTCAGGTCGGCCCCGGGAGTCTGGGCGTGGGGACCCAGGTCGGCCCCGGGGGTCTCAACGTAGGGACCCAGGTCGGCCCCGAGGGCCCCGGTGCTGGGATCCAGGTCAGCCCCGGGAACTTTGGCGTGGGGACCCAGGTCGGCCCCGGGGGTCTCGACCTGAACGCCCTGGCTGCAGGGGGAGATATCGGCATCATAGCACCTGGGCCGCTGTCGGGTCACTTTGGAGGCAATCCTCAGCCTCCAGTAGGAGGTTTCAGACCGACACCTTTCCTCGGAGGTGCCTTTGGAGGACTTGGCGGGGGCGTCTTCGGCAGTGCAGGGCTCCGACCGCCGTTTGGAGGGTTCGGACTGAGTGGGGGTTTTGTTGGAGGGCATCGGCCAGGATACGGGTCTCTGGTGAGTGGCCTCGGATCCGGCACTTTTAGCAGCGGATTTAGGCCGTACCGTCCGTATGTGTCGTACGTAACGTATCGTCCACGCCGTAAGAATGCTGCTTACTCAGTCGACGGGAAGCATCTTGGCAGACTGGGAGATGTTCTCGAGAAGTTGATCCTCGGGAGGAAAGCCAACAAGAATATTGAAGCAGACACGGAAGTGAATGGAAGCGGCCTAAAGGAGGAAGTGGAGAACTCATGAGAAATGGCGAGTAATGCAAACTTGTTTTGTAGTAGTTAATTGTTACGGTCGTGTTTGTAAATGTATGACACTTGTGATGTAATTATAGTGTACACACAACCCCGCACACACTTTATTCAAAGCCAGTGTGAAGACAATTTGCCTGTTTTATTTGTCGAATGTTGTAAATTCGAACGAAACCTTTGCCCATATGAATAGCAGCCTTCGAGCAAATAAAATGAAAACATCGGCTGCCTGCTGAAAAATGTTGCTTAATCAAGTTTGCTAGTAATTTGTTGTGTTATCTCTCCTTAGAGGGTAGATGTTTACTTTCCTTCGTCGTGTTTTACGATGTAAAGCTGCTCCATCTGAGCAGATGTTTGAGCTGCAGCCTGCAAAAAAAGTTATTCGTGTTTCAGCGACTGGGCTATTTTACCAAATATACTTGGAAGTTGGACACATATGCAGGCAAATCATTTCTTAGGTTATGAGTATAAATCGATTAGATATTTGAGGTTATGAGCGTAAATTAATTATATAAATTAGTCACTTGTCTGGGAATCTGTCACACGGGAGACGTTCAGCCGCTGAGACACACGAGTTGGTTGCCGCATCAGCTGACAGCCAATCTTCTCTGCTTGTCCTTTGTCTCTTCCCCCCCCCCTGTCCTAGATTTATCGTGGTGCAATATCTAAGGACCCTCAAATAATCTTCAGAAAGAAAGAACCCAACTAAGAAAACGAAACCGGAAACGAACAGATATAGTTATGTTATCGCCCAGTCCTCTATCGTTTCCCACTGGCCGACCTGATTTTCCGATGACGCACCTTCAGCGACTAGCATCACAACTCAGCCGACGTCACGCAAGCATCAGTCATTACCTCAAGGTTAGATTCGACCCAGAAGTCTTGCAGCTAGGACATCTTGCACGCACGATATCAGTTGCATCAGTAGCATGAGTCAGTTTCACTCTTGACTGTATCCTGAATTACCACTGACCAAACCTGAGCTCCGGGGCTGGTTCCATGAAACCCGCCACCGCCAGGGCCGGGTCGACTTCGGTAGCCGATCCGACTAAACGAATCCTGCTCAACCGTCTCAGCCGATTGAGCTTCCGTGAACTCAGAGGGACCTGGTCTGACCTCCCGTGACCCGTGTGCTGCAACGTCTCGAGCTTCGGATTATGTCTCGGCAAACCTAATATAGGCTGATACGTCAGGAGGGATGGTATCGTATCGAAAGGTCGTAGTTCTAGGAAATTATATGATCGGTAACGCATCTTTTGCACTCCATTTTTTGTTTTGTTTTTGTGTGTGTTCATCAGGCACCCCCTTACAGCACTGGCCATTACCAAGATTTCATATTTTTCCAAATAACTTTTCTCATGCTTCATAGCCGTTTGATAAAACACTGGGCTGTTTTTTTTTTTTTGCCTGGGCCAAGGTCATGGCCAGGTGTGATCTCTGAAGTTAGATTTTATTGTAATTAGATTTTATTTAGCATAACTTAATTGTTCACATCCCACTTATTAATATTCCTTTTATCCCACGACAACAGATTGGGCGATTTTCACACGATGATTTGACAGGCAATTCCAGTCTTCTATGTAAAATACGAGTGGAACAGATATTCTGTTCAAGCAATTACAGCTATGCGCGCATCATCTCTTTTTTGTTCTCCATTTCCCCAGCTAGCCCTCCATAGTACCATTAAAGGATCACACCCAAGTTGCAAAATGCAAGTTCTACATAGCTGAAATACGCATCATCCAACATGTGCAACTTTCTCCCGAAGGAAAATGCGCAACGAATTAGAGTAAATCCTTCACCGCAAGATTGTGTGGTTAGAAAAAGAAGCTAAGGCGGCTCTCTTTCTTCACAGGACAGTGGGACTGCAACGCATCTGCTTTCATTTTCACCAAACACTGTAACTTAGCGACCCGTCCATGAATTAGGGTCGCGTGGTTGCATACAATCAACTGAAGATTGCAAGTCAGGACTATCTGTAAAGCTGGTCATGTGAAGCTTGCATACAAGCTTCTGGTATATAAAGACGGCAGCCTTGGTTCGAAGCATCAGTTCACACAGCCTCGAGTAGTAACAGGTAAGCAAACTGAACTCACACTGATGTACTTTCAAAGCAGTTGGACCAAAACTGTATACAATGTATAAAGGAGAAAGCCCGAACAAAGTCTTGTATTGTTCCTTGTTTCTGTATCATAAAGATCGGTGACAAAGCTAACGGATCAATTTGCTCTGACATTTTAACTCCAATAACGCAGTGTCGCAAAGTGTTGACGGAATGCTGTCGTCCTCAGGTACCGATACCCCTCATCATGAGAGTCCTGCTCGTTCTCCTTCTCTGCGTGGCGGCGGCTGTCGCCTTCAAGCAGCGCACTTTCGGCGGTTTCGGGTACGGTCGACCCCACATTGGCTACGGAGTCGGTCATGGACTCGGATTCGGCCACGGAATCGGCTACGGACACGGAATTGGATACGGACACGGCATTGGCTTCGGCGGATTCCGCCCGGGCGGTTTCGGCTACCGTCCGTACGGATACGGCCCGTACGGTTTCGGACGGAACTCCGATACGGACATCAAGGCTGAGGGCTCGGTCGCCGAGCCGGCGGAGAAGGCGGCCGACAAGGCGTAAACTGCGTTTTTGAGGATCAGAGGCGGTTTCTGACGACCGGCGAAGGTTCATACTCGTGCCTCACCATATTTCTGTATCTCATACATATGTTTATCTGCATCTATACTCAACAAATATATTGATTATTACATGAACAGGCATCGTTTTTATGAGGTTGCAGCCAGAGTAGACGGGGATGCGGGCTGCAATAATTTTCTTTGACGATTCGTTTGTCAACGGCAAATCGGAGACGACAACAAACGCGCCGGAGACCGTGAATAGGGCGTTAACTGCAGCTTAGGTCGTGAACTAGTGCTGTTTTGACTCCAGCTAACAATCAGAGAACGCACTCGCACGTACGGTAAAATGATAGCCCAGCATCATAAAGAACGCAGTGGGCAGAATGATCTTGGAGGCTGGAGCGCATTCTCTTGAATCAGACTAAACCACAGTGTAGGATAGATATATACATAAGCGAATGATAATACATAATACATAAGTGTAGATAACACATAAGTGGTTTTACGCCGAAAGCTCCCGATACTGTATTTCGTTTTTTTTTTTGACTTCTTATCTTTTCGGCTAATATGAGAGTAGGGTTATTCTCTTTTAATTTTCCCATAATGTCACTCAAAACAATGCTTAAAGCCATTATAAGCCACAGTATGTCACCCGTTAACGGTATCTCTTTTTTGATATAATTAATATTTTTTCGAATAGGAATGCCCATTCAATTACATGAGCCAAATCGCATCACCAGTAGCGGTGCCACATTTCTTTGGAAACAGACGATGACTTCACAGTACGTGCTACGCTGGGTTGCCATGCCTGATTCATCCCCCTAAAGATGCAGTTGCTGACACCGTGTATAGGGGTTGTGATACACTCCCACATTGCGCAAACCCAGAAGCTGTGCATACTGCATGTTTGAGCACAGGAACTTCAAAACTGTCCATCAGTTATCCTTTCGTCTCTTTATTTGTTTCGGAAGAAAAACCAGTGGGTATAGTGGATTTTGCTATCAAAGATGCCGTCGACTGTCGAGGCATGGAAACTCGCGTCGTTTAAAATTCATTCATTGTTGATCGTTGCCCTTGTGTTAAATTTGTGGCTGTCTTTCAGCTTATTGGTGTGCTCCAGATGGCAGTTGTACTTACACGAGGTTCTTACCCTAAAGTGTATGTCGGGTCTCGGCTCGTACCTATTAGCCGCGCGTTTGCAACCTGTACGGGATAGACACGGAATGGTTTAACAACTATTTGACGGGTACGTGCAGCAGGTACCGTACGAGGTGCTGACGGTTCCAGCATAACGTCCCGACCCAGAGAAAACAAAATCGGAGTTTTTCAAGGTGGAAGCCTCAGTTGTGTATTATGGATGCTGTTCGCCAATGACCTGAGCTTACATTTGCCCGATGGCGTCACCATTGTTCAATTTGCGGATGACACGCAAATTTTGGTCACCGGTAAGAAACGGGATCTGGCTACTATCATCTCACTCATGGAGACTGCCCTCGATAACGCTTACCAGTGGTTTTGTCACAACGGAATGAAACTAAACACTGCCAAAACGCAGATGTTAGTTTTGGGCACCCCAGCTATGTTAAACCCGCGCCCTGCTGGGGGGTGTTTGAACACCCCCCCCCCTTGTGGTTTTTCGCGAATATCTCAAAAACGGCGGCGCGGAGCGCCGCCGTTTTTGGTACACCTTATCATACATCAATTCTACACATGTTGTGAAAATTTCAGACCAAGGTCATTCAAGGTCAGGTCACCAGGTCACTTGAAGTGACCTCACCTCATAAAAAGTTTCAATGTCTGTCATAGCTACACCGAGAGACCGATCGCTTTGAAACTTTCAGCGATTGCTAAGAGCAATAGCATGTACAAAATGTATATCTCAGAATTTTGATATCGATGACCTAAGGTCAGGTCAATTTTGCGACCTCCCCATTATAAGTCAATGGGAGAAAATTGAAATGCGCCTCTTTTGGACGAAAGACATTATAAACACTCCCAAACACCGAAATACAAGTGTTTTAGACACACTGAACATGGAAATGGTGTCCGTGACCCTTGTTTGTGCCCTGAGGTCATCTTAGGTCACGAATGGTATCTGACAGTTTTTCGCAAATAACTTTTGATAGAGGCATGCTAGAGCGATGAAAACGCCTTATATGTGTTCAGCTCGACGATACGGATCGACTGATATGCAACATGACCCTTTCCGGTCAGGTCATGACCTAGACCTGAGGTCAAATTTTCAAGTTGACCTTTCAAGGTCAAGTTATAGTTCATTCGATGCGTCTTGACGAGAGGAACACGATGCCGGTAAAAGTAAGCTCGTACAAGGCTTGGGTCAAAAGTTATTGCAGAAAAACTGTTTCCGAAAAAATCGGCTATTTTTGCAGTTTTTGCCCCCTGCAGGCAAAACCGTTGACGTTAGGTCAAATCTGAGAGAATTACTCAGAAAGGGCGTTAATAGGGCTATCGAATGCACTTTTCCGCGGCGCTGTAGCTCTATTGGTTCCCGAGTTATGCGTTAGCTTCTTGGAAATTTTCGACATTCGACCTGGAAATCGGCGAAATTTTGCCTTCAATGACCTCTGGTGACCTGACCTTTGACCTGACCAAAAAATTGACCGAAGTGATTTCGTCATTATTTTTTACGCTCTTTCGAACGCCGCCTTCAGCGTATCGCTACGTGGCCCAGGAGCCGAGTTACAAGGGGGGGTGTTCAAACACCCCCCCCCCCCCCAGCAGGGCGTGGAAATCCAGGACCCCCAGCCGGGCGCGGGTTAAGGGGCCTCCCAGCCGTCACCGTTAACTTCTGCGGCTCCGTGGTGGGCAATGCCGGGACTGTGAAAAACTTAGGAATTCAACTCGACCGTCATCTGAGTTACCAGGCACACATTGACGCCATGACTTCAAAATGCACCAGTATACTCATCGCCGTCACCCACGCACGTCACGTGATGCCATCCAGCACACTGAGGTTTGTAGTGCAGGCCCTGGTTCTTTCCATTGTGCGGTACTGCATGAGTGTGTACGGGACGTGTGGTGTGACACAGATGACTCGCGTACAGAAAATCATCAACTTTTGTGCGCGGGTCGTCAGCGGTCGCAGACGCAGTGACCACATCTCCGATGTCATCGAGCGGTTCGGCTGGCTGCGAGCTGATGAGCTAGCCGAGTACCACACTATCTGCGCAGCCTAGCGAGCTATCACCACGAGAACTCCTGAATATATCAGTCAAACCATCGGTCCATTAGCCCGCGACCTGCATGACCACAACACAAGGCACGCCGGCAGACTGACACAACCACGACCCCGAACCGAGACGGAGAGGCGCCGACTGTGTATCAGGGGGTCTCGATGTTGAACGACATGAACTTGGATCCGTATTTGCCATCGTTCCGTCGAGAGGCAAAAAATGCGATTCTTACCAGACGTCACTGAGGTGGTATTGGTGTGAATGTCGTGTGCGTGATTTGTGTGTGCTATGATGATGCCATGCCATGTCCACTTACCCTATGTTTTATCGGTTTTATCTGCTTTACGTGTCAGGTGAAAAGCCACTTTTTGCTGTGGACCCTCGATGAATACATATCTGAATCTGAATCTGAATCTTTCGTGGTTTCAAACGTTCAAACATGTGACTCGATGTTGCTCCCATGTATTAGGATGGATATCAAGGTCACTAAAGGTCAGGTCAGGTCATTGACCTTTGATGAACTCGGCTCACTTTTTCGAAATTTACAGGTTTTTAGACTAGTTTTGGAGCTGAATTCGAATTTAGCAACCGCTTAAACATTTTCGAAGTAATTTTGGTGTTTTCGTAACATGTTACGAGGCTGTCAGAGGCGGTTGTTGACACCTACTGCAAATAATTGACAGAACCTCTACTGGTTGACCTGACCTGACCTGACCTGGCCTAAATGCATGAGGACATCATCTGTGATCAATGTATGTGACCTTAGGTTAGATCAATTTTGCGATCTCTCCATTTTAAGTCGATGGAAGAAAATTAAAATACGCCTCATTTGGATATATCGTCGTTCTAAACACTCTCAGACATTGGTTTACAGATAAGCATGACACATAGAATTGGAAAATTGCACCCGTGACACCTCTTTGTGACCCTGAGGTCATTTCAGGTCATGAGAGGTCCGCAGCAGTTTCTTACATAATTTTTGATAGAGACAGGTTAGAGCGATGAAAACACCTCAGATGTGTTCAACTTAACGTTACGGATCACCTGACATGCAGTATGACCTTTTCGGGGCAGGTCATGACCTTGACCTGAGGTTAAATTTTTTTAAGTGACCCGTCAAGGCAAATTACTAGTTTCTTCGACGCGTATCGGCAAGAGGAACACGTTGCTGGTAGCATATGTGTCGTAAATTTATTCAGCCCAAAGTTATTAGCGTAAACCTTTTTTTATTAAAACGGATATTTTTAGAAGTTTTACCCTCTAAAGGCTAAACCGTTGATCTCATGTCACATCTGAAACAATGCTCAGAAACGCCTTTAAAAAGAGCCATGAATGCGCTTTTTCGCAGCGCTGCAGCTCTATAATTGGTTCCCGAGTTATGCGCTGGGTATTTGGAAAAATGTTGAAATGGGCAGCATTTTACCTTTGATGACCTCTGGTGACCTCACCTTTGACCTGACCTAAAAAATGGCTGAAGTGTTTTCGTCCTATTTTTTGACGCTCTTTCGATTACCGCTGACTGCGTGTCGCTGCGTGTCCCAGGAGCCGAGTTAGACGGGGGACGTAAAAACGCCCCCCCCCCCCCCAGCACTCCACGGAAACCTTAGACCACCAGCACGGCGCGGGTTAATAACATCTAACATTACATTGGTCCCTAGCGAAGCTTCTGCTACTGGCTGAAGGGTTTAGGGGAGCGGAAAAAGAAACTTCAGAGGCTAGAATGTCCACTCACAACGCTCGAGAATGGCCTTCGTGGGTACTTACAGAAATCTCCTTGCGGGATTTTTTTACTAGGGTCGGCACAGTGCAGTTCCATTCTAACATATAGTTCTATGAAATATAGTTGGCTATAGACAAAGAGTGACAAATAAATAATACTGTCTGCCCTTTGTGCCACACATCAAACACAATGCTCGGTAAGCGTATACCATGACGATG